CCTCTCTCTCTCTCTCTCTCTCTCTCTTTCTTTTCGTCTTTTGACTCACTGTGCCTCGAGTTTACACACATACATGTATGCAGGTACAAACAAGCAAACACACATACACATATACACCTCGCATAATATGGTCATTTCATTGATATATTATATAGTGCAAGTACATTATATTAAAACATATGCACAAGAAACCTGCAAACACACACACACACACACACACACACACACACACACACACACACACACACACACACACACCACACACACACACACACACATTCTCTCTCTCTCTCTCTCTCTCTGACACACCACACACACACACTCTCTCTCTCTCTCTCTGACACACACACACACACACTCTCTCTCTCTCTTCCCGCACACACATTTTCTATACAGATGCACGTTGTATATAAATTTATACTCATTATTCACTAGATACCCGTAAACACATACCTACACCTACTCTCTCCCTCTCTCTCCCTCTCTCTCTCTAAAAACACACACAAACACACATAATATTAATAATATGTCTAAGGAATCCATCCATCGCTATCTATTTTTATGCTTCCCCTTCTTCCACTTCTTTATCATCTCGTACATAGCGTCCATGGCCTCAGACAGACCCTCCCCCGTCACCGCGCATGACGGAAGTAGCTGGCACACATGCGTGGCAGAGAGTTCACTGACCCCGACCGCCTTGGCCACCTCCTCGGGCGACATGGAGTCGGGCAGGTCCTGCTTGTTGGCCACCACCAGAGTCGGGATGTTGGTGGGGTTCTGGGTCTTCACCAGCTTGCTCAGCTCCATCCTCGCCTCCTCCGCCCCTTCGTGGTCACTGCTGTCCACCACGAACAGAATCCCGTTGGCCGAGCGGAGGTAGGACTTCCACAGCGGCCGCATGTTGTCTTTACCGCCGATATCCCATATGGTGAAGGTCACGCCTTTGGCCTTGCCCTCTTCGACTTCGACCTTCTCGCAGTTGAAGCCGATAGTGGGGATGGTGCTGGTGTACTGCCCGAACTTGAGGCGGTAGAGGAGGGTGGTCTTCCCCGTGCCCTCCAGCCCGACCATCACGATCTGAACGGACGGGCCGCTGCCCATCACCTAACTACTACAGCTAGGACAGCCCGCTGCTCCTCTGAAACATCACAGAAATCTTTTGAACGAAACAGGCGTAAAAATCTTTTCTTCCAGCAGGGATCTGAACATTAAAACAAGAGCTCCTTTAGGTTCCAGCGTTTGAAAAAAATCCGTAAGGCCCACAATAAAAACGCTGACTCATACACAGCAAAACTCAATAACTAATTTTATATAAAACAGTGCAGGGTTAGGCTGAACAAATGTTCGATCAAAGAATCAAACATCACAACAAAATGGGGAACCACTTTCTAGCAGCACCTTCAGGAACGAAGAGATTTGAAAACTCGACGTCCAAGTCACAAGACGCAGTGGCGAATTGTATACTCCAACTGAACTGCAAACCTCATCAATATTAGAGGTAGAGAAAAGGAAGAAAACAATTTGGTACACACACGCTGATACTGTATAAAAATACGAGGTAAAAATTCAATCTGCGTTGATGAAACTCAGTGAAAGTCACTCGGAGCGTGAATTCCGTCAGTAACGAAGCGACTGTGCACAGCAAGCAATGCCCTTCCTATGGTACGGAAAAAAACGACACGCGAAGGACAATCTCAAATACAACCCAACAATCGGACACAATCACATATACACGAACCGTTTGGGCTTGCTTTTTTCCGTCGATCAAGCAGAAAGACATAAAACGGAGTGCAGCTTCCCCGAGGCGACGGTTCTGGGTTGGCTCTTCTTTTCCCCGCTTTCCTATCCCAGTAGCGATCGGCTCTGACAAAACTGTAGTTTCCACTTCCCGGACTGGCGTTGATTTAATAAAATCGAACTGCGGCACAGATGGGCGCCTCTCCAAGCATGAACGTCGACCAGAAATCGATCGCAAAGTTTCTCCAAGGATCACATCTGCAGTGCGCGATAGACCAACCTGATTTAAACTTGGTAGGTAGACGTAAGAGCTATCAGCGACCCGAACCGCTGGTTTCTCAACCTAACAGGTTTTCATAAAGTCACACAAATCTAATTCAAAGAAAAGCTGGCGAGTCCTAAGAATGGGGTGTGTGGGAGCTGAGGAACTATGGTCTGCTTTCTACACCCACAGGTGGCTAAAAAGCGATGTAATTACGTTGTTTCAAGTATCTTATCAGCAAATAAACACGTCACGTAGATCAGGAGCGCCAATTAAACGTAAACAAATGGATCGATTACGTTTGAGGCCAACAACGAAAAGTAGGCGGTGAGATCCGTGGTCTGCTTTCTGCTGATGTAAGTATTGTCAGCCGTGAGGAGATCACGGTTGCTGCATTGATCGACAGATGGTAGGAAGTCGTGAACTGATAGAAGAGTGTACGAAGGCGGTGCAGATTTATTGCACCATTTATATAAGCGCGGGTCAGAACTCGTGGAGTCACTTGGGGCGAGTTCTCGTCTCTCTGTAGCTGTCTTCTGTCTCTAGACAAGGCCTCAGTGGTTTGCCTCGCTGTTGATGGCTCCTCCTCTAGTCCACTTCCAGACCCCCTCTTGTCCAGCAGCGTTGCCGTTTCTGCTCCCGAGAGGAAAATCAATTCAGCGATCGGGGGAGACTGAGACTGTTCCTGTCAACTTCTTAACGAGTCCGCAACTGCCGAGGATCGGGCTCTAGATTTGTCCACGAAAGGCCGTGTCCTCAGCGGAGAAGTCGTGGCATAGCACAATTCTCTCTCTCTCTCTCTCTCTCTCTTTCTCTCGCTCGCTAAAAGGGATGATGTCGTTCGACCAGTGAGGAACACGAGACGAGAAAAAACAACAAAACAAACAAAAACAATCCTACGAAATAAGTGTCTGTAGAAGTCTTACAGGGTTTTTTTTTCGACAAACCAGAGAAATCCTATAAAAATAGAAATAAAACAACGACACTTCTTAAATACTCTCTGCAGATGTAGAAGATGTTAAAAGACAGCAAAGGAGAAGGATTCTCTGAAACATGTAATGTGCACTCACAGTGCAACATCTAGCTCTTGGTTCACTCTCTTTCTCTTTGGAACTACACAGTTTCTTTCCCCAGTTCTCTCAATTTTTAAAACTTTCAAGTGAATCAGTTACAGTCTTTATTCAATGATCCCGTGTTAATTCTTTTTAATATACCTTTCAAATATATACCCATATACCTTAAGCTTGACAAATTAACGAAACAAAACAAACGAGAACAACCCTAAAAAAATGAGCGGCCAGGGGTACCGAAGCTGCCGAGTGTTGAAGAGTAGTGCCTTGGGCGTTTGGACGGGGTCGAAAAAGGTCAGTAAAATGCCAACCTAGCACAGCTGCTAATGATCCCAGTTGACGGGTCAGCGAGACACGTTGGGCTCGCGGCCGGGGGGAGGCGGTGACCTGGGCTAAGGCTACAACGCCTAATTACGTCCGGTTATCTTGTCGTGGAGAGACGGGCTCCTGTGGTGTTGGCAGAGCCTCAGAGAACGATTTCATCAGGCAAATATTGAGTTGAAATCATACACAAAATCGTCTGTCTCCAATATACACAAAGCCAGGTTTCTGCATACGACGTTGAAGTCAAAAGCGCAGTTTTATAAGTCCGTCCACGAAAGCAGACTGTACTAACAGTTGAGAAAAGGAGTCGACTATAGCAAACTTCTGCAAACTGCAGCTACTGTTGAGAAATACTTCTACAAATCGTAGTATAACGTTCATAAACGTACGTTTAGGCTTTCAGCAGTACAGGCGTGACATAAATGCTCTTACTTAATCATTCACATCACTGCTCGAATAAAACGTACATCAATGAACGTTGGTGAAACGAAGCCTGTCAAACTTCTACATTGACAGAAAAATAAACTTTAAAACTGACACTGGACCGCACCGGGGCCGACGTTAGGTGTCGGGAGAGAAGTGTGACTGGGGATATCGTGTCACAACGCTGTAACGATTAATCGTACAGTAAACCACCAAGCTGAAATATCATATTATCACAGCATGACAAAACAATGCTGGAATCAAAGTATGAGAGCTCTGGAAAAATCAGGGGACAAACAAATCCAGTATTCACACTACAGGCGACCGAAACGGAATGTTGCAATAACTATATTAACAAAACAGACAGCGAGGAATCTAAAGCTAGTCTGCAACCGTGCAAACGCTGAAGTCCCCTTTTCTTTCCCCCATCTCTTTTTCCACGTTTCCTATTATGTCTCGGGGCAAACCCGGAAGATGGGAGACAGTCGCACACAATTTGCATTTCCGAGAAGATGAGGAGAGCCGGATCGATATTGGCGGCTCTCCGGCCTCCGGATCGGAAGCTAAAAGAGGCGATGAGAGATTTATATAGGAGGAAGATGATGGAGTGGGGATGGTTCCAAAGTAAAATTAGTCGATGCCGGAACAGGCGCAGGCGATGAACAATGATTTGAATATGAAGTCTTTTGAGGCAAAATGTAATGTTATTGAAAGATGAAAAGAGAACGCCAAAGTATCCAAAACAGTGTAACTGAACAGAGGTGGAACTTTCCCCTGTTCTGTGGGAAGCAGAGGCTACACAATCTCTGTTGCGATCTGTCTTTGGGGGATTACATCGGACCACCAAGGGAATTTAGCGGAAAAGTGTTGAGGGAAGGGGTGTCTTTGTCGCTGCTTGTCTCGTGGGCTATTAGTTGAAGAGAACAGACGAGGTAGCCGGCACGAAGCCCTCGTGAGTCGTCCGCCTGTCTGCCCGTCGTGTTGAAGTTGAAGTGGCGGGAATCGAGAATTTCCGCGGCCAGACCTTGGAGCGAAGAAGACGGCCGTATGGACGATGAGCGCTGTGAGAGGCTGAAAACTTTGTCATGAGCTCTTGGGCCCTATTGTTCGGCTGACAGGAAGTTGTGAGGAGACAACTCTGTAGGCTATGGTCTCGTGGGTCGGGAAATGTCTAAACGTCAAGAATGCAAGCGAAAATGTCCGTTTTGACGCGAACGCGCTGTGTTGGTATCGTTACGTACTATTCGCTGCCTAGAAACAAGGG